GGGTTGGTAACTGGTAGTTTTCAGCTTGGATATGACCACTTAATTTACTTATTTTTAATATTTATAACCCATTTTTTTTCTAGAACAGGGGTGTCAAACTGCCGGCCCGCAGGCCGGTTTCATCATACTGGAGCCGTGCCCACCCCATTTCCGGCAATGGCAAAATAGTCCCGATACGTCTCGCGATGTCACGTGACATCGTGAGTTTGACATGTCTGCTCTAGAAGCTTAAGATAATTTACACGGGGAAATCCTGTGACTTAGATGGGCTAAGACACTGATTGGCCCAAAGTCACCCTGCAAGCATCCATGGCTGCAGGTGGACTTGAACTGCCATAGTCTTCGCATAGTAGCTATTCTGCCATACTGACTTTTCATTGCTACATAATTAGAGTCTTCCATATTTTAAGAAGCAAGGCTAGTCTTGAAGCACACATTGTAACAACTGATCAGCTTTCCTTTGTGCACGGGAAAATTAGCTCTGTTCAAAGAATGGAAGAAAAAAAAAGGATTGCGTAGACTTTGTTTTGATTAAAAAGCACGTTTCAGAATCCTGATACAGCAGAAATTGTCTATAGTCAAACTTAATTGGCTCTATATGCTTTAGATATTATATATTCTCAATAGATCTCTTTTGCCTCTTGAGCAGAAAGTGTATGAAACAAATTATTATTCAAGGAGACTATCATCTTGATATCAAAAAGACCTAGCAAAATGACCCAGAATTAATTGATCTCAGAATAGCGTTGGAAAACAGTGCATTAGAAATAAAAAAGGAACACTGGGAGACCCGTGAATGAGGGATTTCAAATCTGAGCACATAGTAGAGGCAACCTTTTCAAAAACGTCCATAATTGATATGTGGCTCCAATTAAATAAGGAAACCAGCTTGTGTTCTTTCAAGTGCTGGAAACTTAGTGTGTAGTTAGACCCTCATTTATACTTTGGTTTTGTCCTGTAATTCCTCTAGAGTGGAATAAAATATTTGAAGAGGTAACTTAAAACTTTAGGGCAAAACCATTTAAGAAGAAAATTCTGGCGAAGTAGAGACCCCTGCGAGCAGAGAAGCAGAAACAATACTGTATTTGTTTTAGCCAACAATTTTATCAATGTTGATTAGAGGGTAATGTATTATGACATGCCTTTGCCAAGTTATGCATATAAATCTATAAGTGGAGCCATGGATACTTAGTGGGTCTCTTAGGGCGAGTTCAATAATTGCATTCAACATTAGGTTGCAAATACATAAGGGTGGAAGTTGTATCGGGACATCACTGCACATGTGTCTTTCTGACATTGGTTTGCAGTGATGCTTGATTTTCGAGCACACTTAATTAGGAGTTAGCGCTGTTGCTTTTTTGTGACCCTATTGTGTCTGTTGTAAAAAAAGAAACGCATAGAATTTTCATGCATAATATTTAAAATCTGCCGGAAAAGAAATCTTGTCTTTCTCCCGAATTATTGCTGGAACCATAGCACTTCATGGATTTATTTGGCAAGTCTCTGCCAGCAGAGGGAACTCCGATGTCCTAAAACAGTGATGGCGAACCTTTTAGAGACCGACTGCCCAAACTGCAACCCAAAACCCACTTATGCATCGTCGGGTAACGGGTGGGCGTGGCCCATTGGGTGGGTGTGGCTGCAGTGGTAACAGCAGACTGGGTGGGACTAAAAAGTTCAATTAATCAATTCCAACTTTGCAAGATCTTTTTTTTTCCCCACAAGAAGTTGAAATTGACTGATTGATTGAACCTTTTTTTTTTGTACACGGTGCTGGAGGCCTAAAGTGAAAAGGTTTTATAAAACCTAGCTGAAGGCCTAGGACTGGGGCGACGGCGCGCATGCCCACAGAGAGCGCTCTGAGTGCCGCCTCTGGCACCCGTGCCATAGGTTCACCATCACTGTCCTAAAAGGTTCCCTATATGGGCATGCTAAGAAACCTTTCCAGACTTGAGTCCTCCCGTGGCATTTCTCTTTCTGCAATTATCGTTTCTTTGAAAAGATTAGCTCTTGAATATTAAAGATTGTCTGCCCAGGTGAGATCACTATCTGCATCCAATGCATCTTTGAAGGAAAGACCAAGGAACCAGCCAGTTCCTCTCATGGGTTGAGCATGCTGTAATTTGTGGGGACGACGACAAAGCTATGTAGGGCTGCCACAGTTCCCTAGTTTGACCTAGTTGTCAGGTGTGATTGTGCCTCTGTTTCAGAAGTAAATGGTTCTGACAGCTGGCAGCACCTGCCTTGCTGGCTTGGAAAAGTCTTTGTCAGAGAGAGTGTGCTGCAGAATGGATGCCCTTAAGTTGAAGGCTGCATGGTTTGAGAAAGTCTGCTCAGCAGCTGGAGGAATGCATCTGGTAGAACTTCTGAAAATGTATTTGTTAAGTCTTTCACTCTGTGATGCAAAGCTCAGGTATTTGAAGTGGAGACTGGGGGAGAAGGATGCTTTTCATACCAGCTTTACATCTGCGACTTACTTCTGCTAAATTGCCCCATCAGTTGGTACACGCCCAACTGTCCTTTACTCTAACCCAGGGGTAGGCAACCTTGGCTCTTTTATGACTCATGGACTTCAACTCCCAGAATTCCTGAGCCAGCCATGCTGGCTCAGGAATTCTGGGAGTTGAAGTCCACGAGTCATAAAAGAGCCAAGGTTGCCTGCCCCTGCCCTAACCTATAGAAAATGAGTAAGATACTGGATCTCATCCAACGAAACCTGCACAAGTCAGTGCATTAGTCTTTAATATGGCCAGCAGAGCTGGTTTTGTTTGTGTTGCACTAGCTGAAACTAAAGCAGTGGACTTGCCCAAGAGAACTACTCTACAGTCACTTGTTGGGTCATTTAGGAACCACTAAATGGAGACGTCATACTTTTCATACCTTCCCAAAAATGCTCATTGGCAGTTTTTCACGTTAACTTTTACTAGTTGGGTGTGATACAGGGAAGCCTTTTCTTTATTGCTTGTCACTCTTAGTAGGAATCTTCTTTCATAGAGACAAGGCTGATTTGCCCGGATTAACCTCTTTCCCTTCCATAGGTCCCAAAGCAGACCCTCTCCTGGTGCTATTAGCAGCCCAGTAGCTGCTAACACGTCTACTAGGAAGCCCTAGGCTTCTAAGGATCTGGAGGAAAGGGTTGCCTAGGGGATGTGCAGAGCAGTGGAAGTTCATCCGGTGCTGTGAGCCGTAGTAACAGCCCCGGGCCCTGGAGAGTAAGCCGTGCATTTAGCTTGGCCAGGGAGTGACTTCTCAGCAGATGCTAGTGGCAATCTTTTGTGTTGCCTTTTTTAGAAGGCGGTTAATGGGATGGGCAATGGCTAGAGCCTAAAGAGATGGCGGATGCCTGGTCACAGAGGTCTTCTTTGTGGTCAAGTTTCTTATTGCCAGAGATCAGCGTGGATTTCAGAAAACAGGGAGAGTTGTTTGCCCAAGTAAATAAATCAACAAAACACAGATTTTTTCTCAATGTGCTTATGTCCACTTGTTATTGTAATCCACATGTCTGAACTCTCTTTGCATTTTTTAGCTGCAGCAGCTGTTTCCATGGTGCAAACCTTGGCAGTCCTCACAGTCCAAGCTACAGGAGTGGGAGAAATGCATTTTTGTGGTCTTGTAACTGCATTAGAAAGGCCTAGAGTGACATGACTGCTTAAGAATTTAGGTTCTTGAGGGCTTTTGGACTAAAAGTAAATAAAATATGAGCTCTTAAACCCGTAGAGGTTCTACAAGGCTCAATTTCAGTGCAGTACTTAAAAAAAAATGCCTGAACCTTTACAACTGCACACTTCTAAAGGTATTCCGCACCGGATAAATCTTATTTGACTTGGCATAGAAAGGCTGTTATTCCTGTCAAGTGTCTAATAGTGGTTTTTATAAATAACCCCCCATTGCTGCAAGTGCAAAGTTGACCACTGGTGGTTCTCCTGGCTGTGACCACCTCCACTGTCCAAAACAAAAAGTAAATTTTGATCCATGCATCGGTTCAGGCATCCTGCACAGAGAAAAATACTTTGGAGGACTGAAACCACGAGCTGGGAATATACCACAACACAATTTCAGAGCACCAGGTTGAAGAATGCCCAGATGAGGAAATTGAAAATTGTCTAGTTTCACAAAAGCATTTTAAAGGCATATTTATGCATGTGCAAGTAGGCCTTTCACTGAGATTTTGACTCCTGGAGACTGCCTGGACTAGTCTCTGCAATATTCTTGGCAAGGTTTTCTGGAAGTGGCTTGCCATTGCCTACTTCTTAGGACTGAAACAGAGTGATTGCCCAAGGTCACCCAGCTGGCTTCATACTCAAGGCAGGACTAGAACTCACAGTCTCCTGGTTTCTAGCCTGATTCCTTAATCACTATATTAAGCCAGCTCTCTTTTAAAGTCAGTATTTTTGCCTATATTCTTCGCAATCCAACCAGCACAGAAATTGGGGGGAAAGCCCATTTGGTTTTGTGTTAAATTATTAAGCTTTACACCATCTGCAAAGTTTAACCAAGGGTCATGTTGTTAATAAAATATGGGACATTTACATAAATGACAACATTAATGTACAGTTAATATAGCAGACAATATCACAATACAACAGATTTTTGTACAGGTAGCTAAATCAGCTATTTGAAAATTATTTTCCAAAATGGCAAATAATTGGGGTATTTCCTAACTACTTAATGACAAAATCTTACACTTTTCCGTGATCTGGAGAATGTGAGGAGCTTATGTGGATCCAGATTTGAAAAAATGAATGATTGAAAGATTTATAGCTTATCATTTTCTAATATGTAGGGCTATTCTGCAAGTATGAGTTGAAATGTGTAAGTCATTCGTATAGTTCTCATGTTTTGATTCCTCCCCACCCTTCCCACTTCTTTCTTGACCCATTTATAAACATTTATCCTAGTTAAACCATGTGACTCAGATGCATTATGCAAACGTACCGAACTTTTTAGGCACAAGTTGTTTGTGAAAACTGATAAAGGAGCAAGATACTCAGAAAAAATAACCCCCCCCCCCGTTAGTTTACCCAACCACCCTGCTCAGTCACATTAATGGGTTGTGTTATTGTTGAATTGGTCCAATCTTTATATACTTAAACCAAATGTAATAAGTATTTCTAAACATGGTTCATTCTGTAATGAATGCTTTTCTCTCTGTTAGAAATGAAGATTTTACGTTGAGGACATTAAACTCCCAAATAGATAATTATGGGAAAAGCCTTTCTTGCTTCTGAAATGTCTATGTATTTGCAAAATTTCCATTACTCTTCCATTATCTTCCCTGAAACACCACAAAAACACTTGCGGCACAGCCTAGCTCCATTTGACTTTACTTCTTTCCCCCTTTATTAACTTAACGATCTATCCTTCAAAAAAATATTTGATTTATGCATGTTTCCTCAAATGGTAATCGTAATCCCTTTGTTAATCATTATAAAAACTATATCCTAAATTACTATTTTCTAGTCCATTCAAAAATGGAAGCAAAATGTTGAGTATTGGAAAAAGGGGAAGCCTGTTCCTATATCAGTTATTTCCCATGTCAACCCTTAATTTCAATGCAGACTGAAGTATATATGGAGGGATATGAAAATAATTTGTCCCAGTCATACTGACTGACTCAGTGAGATTACATGTGCAAAAGCCCTTGTTCAAATATTTACAATGATTTAATATTCCAATTTGAACCCAATTAGGCCTCATTCACCTACATCAACTGAAATCCAGTTTAGTGAGTCAGCATGCTATCACATGCAGCAAATGGTGCAAGAGTAGCAGAGAGGGTGTGTTTAAAATGTGGCTGTCATTCGAAATAATACAATTCAGACTGCATCTGTAGCCTGTATGGAGCTTGATTATTGCTTGCAACGTCCAGTCCCCAAAATGATATGGATAAATATACAGTCTTTCTATACAGAGATCCCTTTAGCAGGAATTGGCTATTCATACTTCTGTGCGTGATGCACATAATTCCCAGATGGACAGTGGTCCAGATCATAAGCACCAGATCAGGCATATATTTGCTATAATATAGCATTGACAAAGCAAGCCCCAACCCTTTATATACAACTATATTGCAGAAATGAGAGAAATTCTATCTGCAACAACCAGTATCGTAGATACCACAGTGTGATGGTCTTAGCAATAATAATTTGCACAAAGATATGGGTAGCTCTAAATATTAGTGATACCAGGTTATGTTTTTTAAATACAAAAATGGACAGCCAGAGCTAGTTAAAAACTAAGGCCAAAATAACGCAGAATCTGTTAGGTAGCATATTATTGTTATCTTCAAAACTAGATTTTTTAGCTTTAGCCCCTCCTGAACCTGCACATCTCAGTGGACAAAGCAAAAGGCAGATCTGTTTGCAGCATGGCACTCTAGTGGAATCAGCTAGCCCAATATTAGACAGTTTGAGTAGCCAAAATCGAGAGAAATTAGAATTTCTACATTCATACCCATTTTTAACAGTCCGTTCTCCGGCTAAATGCCAACTATGGTTTGTGCATTCTTCTAAGCGGTCTTTTGGACACTTAGAAGTGAAATTCCCCCTGAGTTCTCCTTTGTGATGTGTACCTAGCAGAATAGCAGCACCCCACCTCAGATTCTGCTCATCCGTTTTCTGGTAAAATCGTGGTGGCAGGTGAGCACTTTGCAGAGTTATGTTCTTGCATTTGGATAAGTCTGCTGAGGTGGTGGGACAGGCACTGTCTCCAGAAGCTGGATGAAGCAGCCACGATGGGGCCAGATCCCATTTCAGTGCAGTTCAATGAGCAGGTGCTTTCTTTAACAGCAAGGCCACAGATCTTAGCAATTACACTCTTGATGTTACATAAATGGAATGAAGTCTGCTGGCCAAAGTGGACTGCAAATCCTGGAGGGGATCCAGACCCTGAACCCTGCTGTTCCTGCCATAGATGAGCTGCCTGAATGATTCCTGCTGCACCAGGGAATTCATATGCTTGAGAAAAAAGCCTTCGCAAAAAGAGGCCAGCTCTGGAGCATTATGGATCTATAAAAGACAAAGGGATGCTGTAATAAAATACATATTAGGCAGCTGTCAAATATCCCCCTTTTTCCCTCCCTTCTCTCCTCCCTCCAAAGACAGTTTCATCCTGATAGCAAATGCCTGAGAGTATTTTTATCCCATGGTTAAAAAGTACTGTCTATTTTGTGTGTCTGTGCCCACTTTATGGCGATTCCATGGGGATATTTTAAAGTGGTTAAAATGCCCCCACTTTTAAACCCTCTTCTGTTCCCCTGCTGCTTGCTGAGCCAAAGTAAAGGAACTCGTAAAAGGGAATGAGCAATTGGTCAGTGAAACTGCCAGGCTAATTACAGAGAGTCCTTGTTTAGCCGCTATTCACAGGTATAACAGGGATGAAAAAGTCACTTTACAACCAATTCTCACAATTTATGACCTTCACAGGGCAAAGGAAAGCTGAAGAAAGTTCATAAATAAGAGTCACGGTTTCACTTAGCAGCTGCTTTGCTTAACAACTGAGTTGCTGGCCCTGATTGTGGTTGTCAAATGAGGACGATCTGTACCTGTCTGGTTTTGTGAGACTGCAATTAATGGGGCACAGTCCTGGCAGAATAATGCATAGGTTCCGGGGAATGCAGAGTTTTGGCAGTCAAACAAATTTGTGGCATGTAAGATGAGTCTTCCAAAGAAAAGGAATTATTGAAGTACAGTAGACCCAAGCGGGAGAGGTGGTTCCCAAGCCTGGGTTTATCGTATTCAACTGCTACCCATGAAATGGTTTATTATTTTGCAATACTTGGCTTCCCCATATAGATAGTGGGACGCTTTCCTACTGCAGGCCTTCTATAAGACCTCTTTTACTGGCTTCCAGCTTCTGACGCATTTAAGCCCATTTTTCCAATTCCTCGCCTAAGATCTGGCATCTTCTACAGGGAAGCTGACGAGAATGTCATCTTTACCTTGGCATATTTATAGATGTGAACACAGCTTTCAATATTGATGGTCTGAGCACACAATATCTCACAGTGGCGCTGGAGGCCATCCAGCTGGAATAAACTTGCAGCTGAGAGCAACTGGCAGGGATGAAAGAGAAGGCATTATTGTAACATTCTGCTCATTCCATTGACTTGCAATATCTCTAGGTCAACCTCTGAGCTGAAGTCCTTTGAGTGACATGCCCAAAAAAAAATCTTAAAATGTAACACACCTTAAAAAGGAAATATATGTCAGTGTGTATTAAAAATAAATAAATAAATGAACTTTTAGAACTAAAAGTATTTACCGGGAATCAAAGAAAATGCAGAATAGGCCTCACTGTCTTATCGTAATCTTACTTGAGAGGGGCCTTTCAAAAGGATGTTAACGATCATGTAGGAATACATAGGAGGAGAAATCTTGCAGCTCTATAAATTTTGGGGACTATTTCAAAAGCTGTCTTTGCACAATAGCTTTTGTCCTGATTTATCAATTCAATTTGTTAAAGGCATTAGAGTCACAGAGATACCTTAGTAATCATGTTGGATTAAGTAATACCTCCAAACTGCATCCTTCCACAATAATCGGAAGGCTTAATTGAGGAATAATATACCCTAATAATGCCTATCTCCAAGGTCTCTGGATGGGAAGCTTTCTATATGATAACATACGGTTTCCTTCAGATCCATATCACATCCTGGATATGCCCATGTTTGTGTGAGCACATCTGTATGCTTACAGCAATGTGGGTGTGGTTTGTCACTGCTGCCTTCTGGGATATTTTTTCCCCTTTCCATTGCAGCCCTATGGTTTTTGCATGGTCTTTTATGTAAGTGTCTTCCTAGTTTTATTATAATTCATTGTGCTTAATTTTGCAAGATAAACAAAGGCTAGCCAGTGCTGTAAGTTGTTAAAATATTCAGTCTGAAAGGTTATCGATATTGTTGTTTATTTATTCATTTCCTGCATTTATTTTTATAAACAATTCAAGCAAATATACACAATACTCCTTCCTATTCCTATTTTCCCCACAACAACAACCCTGTGAGGTGGGTTGGACTGAAAGAGAGAGTAACTGGCCCAAAGTCACCCAGATAGCTTTATGCCTAAGGCGAGACTAGAACTCACAGTCTCCTGTCCCAAATATGCTTTTTTCACAAGGCAACTGGGCTTTCTTATTTTTCTTTGAAGTCCCACAGTCTCATGGTTTCTTAACCTAACCATCTCTTTCTTGGTAGTATGTAAACCTTCCTACAAGTGTAAAATGTTCCCACCATAGCTAGTAATCCCCACAGATCAGTGTTTCTCAACCTTGGCAACTTTACGATGTGTGGACTTCAACTCCCAAAATTCTCCAGCTAGCAACGCTAGCTGGAGAATTCTGGGAGTTGAAGTCCACACATCGTAAAGTTGCCAAGGTTGAGAAACATTGCCATAGATATTACAAAGCTACTGCAATGGTGTGAAGGCTGTGTATTGTGTGTATGTAGAAACTCTGCAGTTTAACTAAGCTCTTCAAGCTGTAACTATGTTGTTCAACCACAAGTCCCAAGGCCTTACATCTGCATCTACGTGCCTGACTCAGATGTCTCATCCTTGTTGCTACTTCAACGTGATGAAGACCAACTTCCTTATCTTTTTTTCCTCAAGGTTATTTCTACTTGATTATTCCCAATATCTGTCATTACTTTAGCCTTGGTGCTTATCTTTAATCCCCTTTGCTTTGCACTTTTCATTTTATAATACTCCCGCTAATCTCAAAGCTGCCACAGAAAGGTCTGGTTATTCCTCTTTTTTCTTGACTACTACCGCTTTCTTCTTTTTGACTGTCCCACACATAATTCAGCACTGCAAGCCATCTCCAAACGAATCAACAGCTCCATTACTCACAGTAATGAATGGCTTGAGATAACAATTTTTGGAGATTTCAAACTTGAGCAGGTTGGGGAATGTT